TAAAATAGAAGCTCAGAATGTAACAGTTGATTGCTACTGGTTCGAGAGTAAGTAAACATTATATCGGTATGTTTCAATGATATATATAAAGAATGCGTGTAATTGTCTCCTATAAAAAAACATTTCTGCTAAAAAGAGGAAAAAAGGAAAAGAGCGCCTCTTCGAATAAAAATCGAGTGTTCGCAGAAAGATTAGAATTTAAGTAATCTCGATAATCAGAAGAGACGGCACAAATAGCAGTCACATAGATATGTACCTACACAACCAAATACGAATTATACATATATATGTATATAATATATCCGCGCATAATTGAGCGATCCTCACGAATTCCCTTCCACGAGATCGCTGTCGTCATTCGTTTCTGCAACCTATAATTTAACATTTCTTCTTTCGCGATTGAGGACTAGATAAATACATATATACATTAATAAAAAAAAGTTAATCTCCGAGAGAGAGAGAGAGAGAGAGAGAGAGAGAGAGAGAGAGAGAGAGAGGTGAAAATCGCGCGATTTTTTCTAATAATGCAGAATAGTATACAAAATATATACATATAACTCTTGTATGTTACTTATAATCAAGGTTGGGTAGTGGCTAGTTAAAAAGATAAAAGTTAAGTTAAAAAGTTAAATAATTTTAACTTAACTTAGTTACATTTTCAGTTCTTAACTTTTAACTTAATTTAGTTACATTTTATCGGTAACTATTAACTTTTGATCTAACTTTCTTGAAGTTACATTTTAGCTTCTTTTAAATCCAAAATCAAATACATGTCTAAGTTAGTATCTTCAAGCATTTTAGCCTAATGTATTTGGCAAATATTAACATATAAAAATTATATTCATACGACATCTATTAACAGATTTATGATCAATAACACGCTTTTGTACCACTGACTATATAATGTATATATTTATAATATTTGATAACGTTACAAATGCAAGTATAATTTCAAATAAAATTCAATATAAAAAAATAGATAAGAGTCAGGTCAATAAACGAGCAAAATTTGTTTTGGGTGAATAACTAATAATTTAATTATTGCTGATAATTTAATAATAATTAAAGATTTGATGGAACGTTTTGGCTTACTTAGCCACCATCAGCCATCATACAAATTAAATTCACATTAAAATTTAAATTGACATTATTGATGCAGTATTAAATTATCAGTAAATTGTTAATTATTCATCCAAAAAAAGTTTTGCTCGTTTATTATATTGACCTGACTCATCTATTATTTTACTGTTTTATGCATACAAGCGGTAATTAAGTTTAAAATTCGATATTTTCGTCTCTTTTTTAAATATCCTTTTCACTATTCATATTAATATTTAAATATATATATTTACCATAAATATTATACATATTATTTAAATATTGATCCTTTTTATTATTGGACATCCATAATGCTTTCTACCATGCGATTGCTTTTTACCGTCCGATCGCTTTTCATTCCAGTTACGACATTTGCCGCGAGTGGCGTTAACATACGGTGAATTTCTTGAATTGACGTTATGGACCAACATGGCTGATGGCAACATCCTGAACATCCACTATACAGATGCACAATAATCGTCACGCCACACGTGTTTGCGTGCGTTGCGCCGACCATGAGAAACAGTGCGAGAAATGTCAAAGATAATAAAAACCGGACTGGTAAGAATGGCAACAACGATAAGCCACGGGAAAAGAAGTTTGACAAAAAGAAGTACAGATTACAAAAGTATAGCAACAAGTATAAAAGTATGTATATGGTTAATATGATGTACGGCCGCAAATAGGTTAAGGTTTACAGTTTATTACAACACTCGTCTCCATGCGTTTAAGTTGAACAGTGGGAAGAGAAGAGGAAGAAGGCCGTGTTGCTCGGATTCTACAATCAGCTGAAGCGGGATGAGCAGAATTCCGCGGGAACGTCATTGAATTTAGGCGACGCGTCCAACAGTGCGGACGAAACGAGGTACGTAATAAGGCACTTGGAATCGACGGCAGAATCCTCGATGACTTGAAATCCAATCGCTTAATATCTAAACTGATCGACTTGCTCACGTGTGCGAACAGCAAACCGAGGAAGAAGGGCTACGCCTTCTTCAAGGCCAGGCAGGAGTACAAGCGAAAGCGGGAAGAGAAGAAGAAGAGGAAGGAGGAGGCCGTTCGCGTGAGAGCGGAACGAGAGGAAGCATTAAGGAAGTACAAGGAGCAGAAAATGCGTAATTTCAAGATATTATCGAAGAAGACTAAGAAGGGACAGCCCGTCATGAGGGGCAGAATAGAGCTGCTGCTGGAGAAGATACAGCAAAGTGTAACGTAATCTGCAGTTGCCTCTTCCTGTCCCGATTAGACTGATCATCACATCCATTGTAGCACGCACAATGGAACATTATTCAGAGGAACAGAACAGTTTTCGCTTTTGTACATGATGTATATTGCCTGTTACATAATAGAGGAATGTATAGAATGTCCCAGTAATGGCACATGTTCTTCGAACCTACCTCGTTAATTGTTTGCCACATGACATTGTCTCCAAATATGTCTACAAATATGTTGTATCTTATTCTAGCTTTTATATTACTATACCATTTGTGCGAACTGGAATGACAGTGTCGTGTGCAATTACTTGTTAAAGTATAATAAAATAATGGGAATAAATGGAGTAAATGGAATTGAAAAACTGTTTCAATTCTCTCTTCGAGCCTGAGACCAACATGATGATTTTACAAAGTAATTTATAAAATTACAGTACTGACATGTATATATATACCTATATCTGAAAAAGCATCCATTTAATTCCTTGCACCTATGGAGAGTATCTTTCCGTACATAATAGCGAATATAAAACGTAGATAACGTGTGATTAAAAAAAGATTATGTTTTGCTGACACGAATCGATTTTCCTATCGACGCGGGGCGACCTTTTGCATGGAATCTCGCGGTGGTGCGGGTGCCGCGGACGGAACAGCCGTGGGCGCTCGAACCGGCGTGTGCCCTTTAGCGCGCGGCGATCAATCGCGGGTGACCGCCGCCGCGCCGCGCGGCGACGGCGACGGCACGACCGACTCGCGCTCACGAGAGCGCGCGGCGGCCTGCGTTCGAAATACGAAATTCCACGCGCCAGCGTGGATCGCGCGTGCGCGCTGGCATTTCGACGGGCGAACCGTCTCTCGCTCCGCGCCGCTCGTCTCGTCGGGGACGACGACGGGGCCGCCGCGCCGCGCCAGTCGACGGTTGCAAATGGCGACAGCCACGAAGTCTCTGGCACGGGCTCGCGACTAGTTCCACGCCTACCGTGCGCCTCTGCGAAGCGAGCCGTGCGCGAACGCAGCCCCAGCGCGCCCCAGATCGGTACGTAGCGAACCCCCGACGACCCGGCGACGCCGCGCGCGCGGGCGGACCTCGCCGCGCGAGGACGGTCACCGCGGCGCGGCTCGCGCGCGGCGCCCTTGGAATCCCGGCGGACCCTCCGCGGCGCGCCGCGCGCGGAGGGACGGACAGCTCTCTCGCTGTCTCGACTCTCGGACGAGGGTATCACCGTGTCCCTTCGTTTCCCATCCCGTCTACTCCCTGCCTGCTCACCGAGACGGTGTTCCTCGATCGATACGTCGCGCGCCGCGATCGTCGGCCTCCCCGTCCGTCGGCCGGATCCGTCTCACCCGTCTCGATCCCCCCCCATCCTCCCCCTCCTCGACGATTCGCGTACGTGTCTTCTTCCCCTCTCTCCCCCCCGTCTACTTCTCCTCCCCCGTGTGCTTGCCGGGACGGAGATCTCCGGGTGCTCGGCCGCTGTCAAGAAGCATACCGTCGGAATTCGCCGCGCCGGTTACCGATCGCTCTCTCCGCTCCGCTTTCGACGGGCCGAATGAGATCGCGGAGATCGGCGGTCGGGTTCGAACAGCCGCTCTTCCTCCGAGCCGACGGCTGAACTTTACACTTGCCCCGGAGACTCGGAGCTCGGTCGTCGCGTCGTAACGAACACGGTCCCGTGTTCTCCCCGATAACGCGCCCGGAGAGAGGAGACGAGGAAGAAGAAGAAGGAGGAGGAGGAGAGGAATTAGTTCCGCGATTGTGTTGAAAGACACACGGCACGTACGGACGTATGTACAGTAGGAGCCGCTGCCCCGTGCCGTCGTCGCCGTCGTCTCCCGCCGCCGCCGCCGATCGTTGCGTCACGCCGTTTTTAGTTGAGCGCGAAACAAATACCAATTACAGTAGATCTGCGTCGGAGCGCGATCTCTCTAAAGCGTCTCAGATTGGGAGGGGAATGAACGTCCCGAGTGTCCTCAACAGCTCGTCTCTCTCAATTCTTCGCAGGTAGTCTTGAGAGCGGAACCAGAGCAAGATGCCGGCCGTCAGAGGAGATGGTATGCGTGGATTGGCGGTATTCATATCGGACATCAGGAATTGTAAGTTAACATAGTCGATTCGATATTCCACAGTTTTCGATAACACCCCAATTTCCTACTTTATTAATTACTGGATTATACAATGCGATTATACGAGGCGCGTCGCGCGAGCCGTCCTCCGAGTTGTCGTAAGCCTGCAAAATGCGCTGGCTCCTGGCAAAACGCCTCCTCTAGCGCTGTTAACGACGCTTCATTCACTCGAGTGATAATGTGCCATTGAAACTGTAACCAGAGTGTGCGACGTGTTCAACTGCTGTTAGGAGCAGGAGAAAGGGGGCGGTGTTCTGATAGAGGCCTATCTTCTTGATATAGCTCGAGTCTCAATATCTACGGCACGTTAGCGTCACTAAACTAAAAAAAAAAAAAAATAATAATTTGAAACGAACGCGGGTTTTCCTCAAGATATTTATGCGAGGCGCACAGTTTTACACATATTTGCGTGTATTATTTATTTATAATTATCTGCATCTCTGACCTGAAAAGGATTATTCTTGATAAATCGGTCTATTTTTCATATTAAATGCTTCTGCTGACGTTATTATTTCCGATTGAGTTTACAATAAAAATCCATTTACGGCAAAAAAATGAATGTATTGCGGCAGGAAATTTTTTTATCCTAATATTGCAATTTTATTTCATGCAGAACGATACGATTCGTATCAGTGATTTTACGTTTATCTTTTGTAAAGGACATATAGATACATACACGCTCGCACGGTCTCTTCTTCTTTTTAAAATGCTACACCAATGTTACCAGGCAAAAGTAAAGAGGCGGAAATCAAGAGAATTAACAAGGAATTAGCAAACATACGCAGCAAGTTCAAAGGAGACAAGACGCTCGATGGATATCAGAAGAAGAAGTATGTTTGCAAGCTGCTGTTCATCTTCCTTCTCGGCCACGATATCGACTTCGGACATATGGAAGCTGTCAATCTACTTTCGTCAAACAAGTATTCGGAGAAACAAATTGTAAGTACACAATCGAACCGAGTCCAGTCTGCAATGCGCGCAACAATATGATGTATCACTATTTATTCTCTCGTACTCGATTCCAGGGATATCTTTTCATATCGGTCCTAGTGAACACTAATAGCGATCTGATCAAGTTGATCATACAAAGTATAAAGAATGATCTCGCCTCGCGCAATCCGATTCACGTTAATCTGGCGCTGCAATGCATCGCCAATATCGGCAGTAAGGAAATGGCGGAGGCGTTCGGCAACGAAATCCCAAAGTTGCTTGTCTCAGGGTACGATGATGTGTTCAGCTGCTATCTACAATAGTCTCAATGCCGAGTAGTCCGTATCAGATGTTCGTTCAGTCTTCATATATTTCTCCAGAGACACTATGGACGTTGTGAAACAAAGCGCCGCGTTGTGTCTGCTACGGCTGTTGCGGACGGCCCCCGATGTCGTACCTGGCGGTGAATGGACGTCGCGCATAGTTCATCTGTTGAACGACCAACATCTGGGCGTCGTGACGGCCGCGGCGTCGCTCATAGACGCTCTCGTGAAGAGGAATCCCGACGAGTACAAGGGCTGCGTCAGTCTTGCGGTTTCGAGATTAAGTAGGGTACGTTTTACCGAGGTGTAATATCGGATTGATCGTGCAACAATGAGAATGTTGGTCTAACGATTTCTCCCGCGATTGCAGATTGTCACATCGAGTTACACAGATCTGCAGGATTATACGTATTACTTCGTACCAGCTCCATGGTTATCCGTCAAGTTGCTACGTCTGCTGCAGAACTACACGCCACCAGGTACTTGAGATCCCACAATGCGGAGTACACAGTCGTGGACAGACAGGTTGCGACACTTTTTTTTATAGATTTCAAGTATATGTTTAATATACATGATATATATTTTAGAGGTAACTAATATTTTGCAAATGCGAACCACGATGTACTATCTCTAGTCTAGAGACAGTGTAACACCAATCGTGGTTCGCATTTGCAAAATATTAGTGCGTTTTGAAACCTATATAAAATAAAAGTGTCGCAACCTAGATTTGTCCACGGCTGTACATTGTACGCGGTGGCGGTACGTTGGCGCGATACATTTATATTGAAATTTATATTTCTGCAGCCGAAGATCCGGGTGTGAGGGGCAGACTGAACGAGTGTCTAGAAACGATATTAAACAAAGCTCAAGAGCCACCAAAGTCAAAGAAGGTCCAGCACTCGAACGCAAAGAATGCTGTACTCTTTGAAGCCATTAGTTTAATTATTCACAACGACAGCGAGCCGAATCTCCTTGTACGGGCGTGCAACCAGCTCGGTCAGTTCCTGTCGAACCGCGAGACCAATTTGCGATATCTGGCACTCGAATCCATGTGCCATCTGGCCACCTCGGAATTCTCGCACGAAGCCGTGAAGAAGCACCAGGAAGTGGTCATACTGTCGATGAAGATGGAGAAGGACGTTTCGGTGAGACAGCAAGCGGTAGACCTGTTGTACGCCATGTGTGATAAGAGTAACGCCGAGGAGATCGTTCAGGAGATGCTGAATTATCTCGAGACGGCTGATTACTCGATTAGAGAAGAAATGGTCCTTAAGGTAGCGATTCTAGCGGAAAAGTATGCGACCGATTACACTTGGTATGTCGATGTTATCCTAAACCTGATTAGGATAGCGGGCGATTACGTCTCCGAGGAAGTCTGGTACCGAGTTATACAAATCGTCATCAATCGTGATGACGTCCAGGGCTACGCTGCGAAAACCGTTTTCGAGGTAAATATATATACAAGGTGTTCAGCGATTCTTGAATCCTGGAATTATTATGAAATGTGTCCTGGAAAATTTCTGGAAAACCCTTGAAATTTCAGAATTGACCTTGAATTATTATCATTCTTTTATTCTAAAAAAAATTGGATCGTAATAAAAGAACGAAATATTTCTTGCGCGTGTGATACAAGAACTATGTTCGATAACATCGGATAACGTCTTTTTTTTTTAAAGTTTATGGTTGTATATGTTCTCCCTTAAAGACGCAATAAGGCAAGCAACTTGTAAAGCAATAAATAATATTGTTCTAAGTTTGTTTGCATTTTAATTAATTCGTCATATAGAATTCTAATTTGAATACAAAACATATAATGTTGTGCAAATCAATAAAAATTAATTAAATAATGAAAATTAATCGACATGGAAAAACTAGAATTTTTACCAGGAATTATCCTCGAATTGGTTAGTCAGATATCGTTGGACAGCATGTATATATCCTCTTTTTCTTTTGCTAAAATTATTTGACGTTCTATACGTTGCTTTGTTTGTTCATTGCAGGCGCTGCAAGCACCCGCTTGTCACGAAAACATGGTTAAAGTCGGCGGTTACATACTCGGAGAGTTCGGTAATCTCATAGCTGGCGACCAACGGTCTTCCCCGGCTGTCCAGTTTCAACTACTACATTCCAAAGTAAATATTTTTCCATTTTCGAAAAATGCATGCTATTGAGGATATGTATACAAGTCTATCTCTTTTTCTCTCGCTCTCTCTCTCTTGCAGTATCATTTATGCTCTCCTATGACTCGAGCACTATTGCTCTCGACGTATATAAAGTTTGTCAACCTGTTCCCTGAAATACGAAGCCAGATACAAGACGTCTTCAGGCAGCACAGTAATCTACGTAGCGCGGACGCTGAACTGCAGCAGAGAGCATCGGAATACTTACAATTGAGCATTATCGCTTCAACCGATGTCTTGGTATGTGTTATGCAACGATAAAAAAAAAGAGACTCGCGTCATTGATAACATACAACAGATATTAGGGCTGTTACTTTTTACTCACTTCGAATATTCGAAGCTTCGACGTTAACTTCGACCTTTCGAAGTTTAAGGTGTTTTTCGAAGCTTCGAAGTTTTGAAAAATACATGAAAATTTAAATTTTCATAATACATTTTTATTTTCAATAAAAAGAATTAATACGAAATTATTCCTAAAAAATTTGAAAGTATTATAACCTCAAATATTACAAATTATAATAATAATTAAACTTGATGCATGTGTAAATAAGCAAAGGTTAATGATCAATAAAACAATCCAAGAAAATTTAATCATTAACCTTTGCTTATTTACACATGCATCAAATTTAATTATTATTATAATTTGTAATATTTGAGGTTATATACTTTCAAATTTTTTAGGAATAATTTCGTATTCATTCTTTTTATTTACAGTATTTGTAAATTTTCTGAATAAACTTATTATTTGCACAAATGTATTTTTTGAAACTTCGAAAGGATTCGAAGATTTTTATGCCGAAGCTTCGAAGTTCGAATGTCGAAGCCTTCGAAGCAAATCACCAACCATAATAAATATACCGTTTTCGTAGGCCACCGTGTTGGAAGAAATGCCGGCGTTCCCCGAAAGGGAATCCTCCATTCTTGCAGTTTTGAAGAAGAAGAAACCGGGTCGCGTGCCGGAGAACGAAATTAGGGAGAGCAAGAGTCCAGCGCCGAACACTAACCATCACGCTGAGCCTCCCGCTGCTGCTGCAACCGCGACCGTTAACAATTCTTCTGCCGATCTGCTAGGATTGTCGACTCCACCCTCCTCTCAACCGTCTAGCAATACAGGCGTGCTGCTCGATGTTCTGGGAGATATTTATAACATGCCAAATAAACTCGGTGCTACCAACGGCACCCAAAATACATATAATCCTAAAAAGTAAATTATATTATATTTTTATTTAATTCAGAAAATTTTATTTAATTCAGGTATTTGTAATCGTGCGTTATTATTTCGACTGTATTTTCCAGGTTTGTTTGTAAGAACAACGGTGTCTTGTTCGAGAGCGACTTGATACAAATCGGTGTAAAGTCGGAGTTTAGACAAAATCTTGGACGCGTAGGTCTTTTTTATGGAAACAAGACGCAGCATGCTTTGCACAGTTTTCAACCGCAACTGTCTTGGACGGACGAGAATCAATTGAAGTTAGCTGTACAAGTGAAACCTGTTGATCCTATCCTGGAAGCTGGCGCTCAGATTCAACAGATGATCAATGCGGAATGTATTGACGATTACAACGGTACGTCACTTCGGCATTTCAGGGCAAATTTTTGATGAAATCTGAACATCTTTCGTTACCACGTAGTATCTTCCGTTTCACAGATGCGCCGAGCATGATTATCTCCTTCATTTACAACAATGTGCCACAGAAGATCACGATGAAGTTACCATTAACAATTAATAAGTTCTTCGAACCGACAGAGATGAACGGGGAGTCATTCTTTGCGAGATGGAAAAATCTCGGCGGGTATGTTACGTAACTGCGTTTAGAAGGGGGAGAGAGACACGGGAGACGCGATTTGAATAATTTGAGATGATTTGTCGCATATTGAATTTTATTTGTACAGGGCAAATCAACAACGATCGCAGAAGATTTTCAAAGCGCAGCAACCGATGGATCTAACACAAGTACGCACGAAGCTGCAAGGATTTGGAATGCAGCTACTTGACGGCATTGACCCGAATCCCGATAACTTTGTCTGCGCCGGTATCGTTCACATGAGAGCGCAGCAAGTGGGTTGCCTGTTGCGTCTCGAACCTAATAAACAAGCTCAGGTAATTTCATCGAGCTCTTCGGTAGTAACAAAAATTTAATTTACACTTGTATAACCGCACTTTTTATATTTTCTACTTGCAGATGTTCCGCTTAACAGTACGTTCAAGTAAAGAATCGATGTCGGTAGAGATCTGTGACCTGCTGGTGGACCAATTTTAAACGGCCTAGCAGGCGTAAATATTATCGAGAAATTAGCATTGCGTCGTGAGAGGACATATCATTATCGAACGATGATGTCATCTCGCGTCGTTCAAAAGAAAAAAAAAAGATACTGATGGTTATTTGTTAAGAAATATTTGCGTTGTACCCAAGCTTACACTCATAACGCTCTTATATATATATATATGAGATCTGTATCTCTTCGTGTAGGTAGTTTCGTGTCGCTGTATATCATTTTACTCGGAGAGGCATAAGTTTGAATCAGGACTTAAATCGAAATCAAGAATACAAGAAAGAACGAGGGACGTGTATATGAAAACTGGCTATGATAGACAGTATTATTTCATATAATTGAGGATACCGAGGTGTGGATCTTGTTTTGAATGCGTCTGCATCTTACATTACAATCTACAATTTAAGCGGATGATGCGAGAATGCGATAGGAGAAAGGGAACGACGGGAGTTAGATCTTTTAGCAGTGGATACGTACGTATTGTGTAGAAAACACTCGAGCCGTATTACGGAAACAAAGGATAAGATTCTTTTTTTTTTTTTACTGAGTTTTATAATACAATTTCCCTCCGTATCGTTACAATTCATATAGTTTTTAAACTATCGATTAATCAACTGAGCTTTGATCGTTAAGAGATTGGAACATCTCTGTCTCTCTCTCTCTCTCTCTTTTTGCACATCATTTTGTTTTATATCTACGTTTTGTACCTATGCGTCGTGAATTTTGTTCATTTTCATTCAATTGCTTACATCGATATTTTGCCATGAGATTGCCGCGTGAGCGAGAGTAGATTTGGGCACAATGACAGTAATTGTATAATATGAGCTGTTTATCTATAGATATCCTTATATTTAACGGAGCTGCGAATTAATTATTGTGTATAATTAATAGCTTATATTTAATTGTCTTCGTCCTGATCATCTGATTTTGAACAATGTCCTAGATTTTTCTGTATTGATATTGAGTGTATAAATCCATGGCTGGTCATTTCTCTATGTTTGCAAGATGACGTGGGAGGTATATCGTATTATTGATTGAAATCTAAATGTTCGCGGGTTAACTATTTGTAACGAATACGTTTATAGAAGTACGTTTTATTACCTTCGGAGTTTTGCGTAAGATGTATATTTTCAGTGGAGTGTACAACTCTGTACAGATGTGTTACTAATGTGTTGAAGATGTGTTTTTGCGAAATGCGTTTTATAATAATAACAGCGGGAAGCGAGCAGCTCTAAATATGATTTAAATATCGATCTTTACAACGATCGGTGACACGGTTACCGATTTTGTAAAGTCTTACACAATTGTACATATGAAATTGAAATCGCAAATGGCTATAAATATTTTCAGGATAGATTGCGCTATTGATAGCCATACAAGCTCAAATTTGTTTCTTATTCTTCAATTATGCTTTATTTTTCAGGGAAGTAAGATGTATATTTTTCATATTCATATAGTGTAAATCCATATCTAATGTTCTCATTATATTCCTTTTCCCTTAGATTACACTTGTATTAGCTGTGTATTTTAATTATAGTGGATACAGGTCGAGAGAACACGGCGCTATCAGTTTTTTTACGACTTGATTTATTGCATAATGAGATTTTATTATTATTATTACTTTTCCCCTTTTTTCTTATATTATTTTATGACACGATAGGATTTTGTTAGATATATAATTACAGTAAAATCATAAGTAATGTTAAACGAAACATTGGACGTTTTATATTTTTACACCTCTCTCGTTCTCATAGAACAATTAATATTTCAGAGACTTAATACATTTTTTCTCATTTAAATTGTGTATAAATTGTCAAAATTTAATCATTAATTTTTAATTGATGACATTTTAAATTGCAATTTTTTTTAATTCGATGATAAGATTAAGATATAGATCAAAACTACATCAAAATGTTTATTTTAAAAAATCAAAAAATTAAAAAGATAAAAAATGTCTATTTTTTCACCGTAAGCATTAAGACATTTATCACAGCGTTTTACAGTTTTAAACATTCCTTCGTGATAATTTTTTTTTTGTTCAAAGTTAAATACTGCAAAGTGAAATTTTGCAGAACTGTGATCTTCGATGTTTTTTTATTCTTGAATTTTTTTTCCTAATAAGAAATTCTTAACGAAAATTTCTTTGAAGAGATGGAAATTTAATGAGACTAAATGAAGGAAATGAGGAAATTTAATGAGGCAAATCGAAATTATGCGGTGGCACAGAACTTTCCATTTCCGCATATATTTTAAAGTGTAATTTGAAATAAAAGTATATTATCTCATTTCCTGTAAGATACACTTTAAAATATCTATGTCTCCATGAATTTCTCTCTTTATCCAAACTATACATTAAGAACATTTTTTGTAATTTTTATTGATTTCCTGCGTACGATAATCGACTTTTATTAATGAATCTCACATGTACACGAGTTTTTACGCCGTTTTATCAAGTTTTATTCTTTTGAATTTTGTCTATCTAGAAGAATTGACAAACTGATTGACGTGGAACCCTCGACCAACCATTGACCACCAGTCATGGATTTCGCGAGAAAGTTTGATAATGTTACGTTTTAAAAGAAAAAGACAGTCAACGATATTTATAATAACGATATATCTCCTCATTCGTATTATTATATAGAGCCCGCGTTTATTATATACGTATATTATTATTAGAGATGAGAATCGTGTTGCGCTTAAATTTTAAAGGGCCCACGCATGATCCGACGATTTACGTAGCGAAAGACTATACTGCGGCGAAGTCCAAGTTCGAGCTATACACGTAAAATTAAAGCACATTAGAGAAAATATCACGCGAAATTTGAATGCACATTCGATAGATCGTGCGCGGGCCGTTTCACATTCAAATGAAAGTTGCGTTAATATATACATAAATATACATACCTTTATATTATAAATACATAAATTATATATATTAAGAGAAATGTGTGGCGACACACGGTTGTTAGATTATCACGCGGCGACGCTCCGATCCGCTGATGACGATCGAAGCCGCCGTTGTCGGTTACGATTCGATATTTCGGCTACAGCATTCGTGCCGAACATTCGAATAATTGGAATATCTCGAATGTGTCCATCCACGTGATTCGTTGTTACTCGTTAAAATTCTTCGAATACTCACAAAGTCGTGGCAAGGCGACGTGATGTGAAATGACCTCGTGTGATTCATCGGCGTTTCGCGTCGTAGAGCCTATCGTCTTCTACTTTAAGATTTCCTCGAATTATCTGTACGATATCTCGAGATATTCTAATGTTCGGATATTCGAACGTGTAGCCTCAATAATACTCGTCTGTTCGCGATGAGAAATTTAAAAGAAGAAAAAAAAAAGAGGTGTCTGACCGTTGCGCGGAAGCGTCTACCTTTTCGCGTCGTCGTTCTGTGTCGTTGTCTCCTTTTCATTGCGGTCTAATCGTGTACAGATTTAATGTAGAAATTTTAATAGACCCTACCGCGAGCAACTGCCGAAACGGTTGATGAGCGCGAAGAGAAAAAAAAAGAGAAAGAAAGAAACGAGAGAGCGCGAGGGGGCAGATCGCGGCTGATTTTTCGGCCGAGAGTCGGCCTCGCTCGCGCTTATACGGACGAGCGTATTGTATGATAATATCATAGTAGATTGCGACTTTTGTCCCTCTGTAATTAACGATGCTCACCGTATTTATTTCCTCAGTAGCATGCATGTAGCGTATGCATTATGGGTGTTGACCCCGCGTGGTTTTTCGACCGTCGTGACTTCGAGGGTCAAATTGAAGTTAACGAGCGTACATTGGTCTTGATCTCCAGCTACGATTAGCTGTTTATGTTTATTCCTCTCTCTCTCTCTCTCTCCTGGCGCGCACACCGAATTTCGTGGGAGGAGTTTTTTTTTTTTGTTCTTATGCACGTGGCACATCGTTCGAATACACGTATTTTTTTACACACACACACACACACATACACACACACACACACACATATATATAAATATTACGAATTCGCGCCATTCGATTTAAATATTCATAGAATTCCGAGCTTCAGAGTGAGCTTCATGGAAGTTCGGGAGAAGTACCGTAGTTTCTACATTCAATCTCTACGCGAGAACAATCCTTTGGTCCCCGTATAGCGTGTGCGTTAGTTTTTCGTCCTTCTTTGTCTCTTCCGCGCGAAGTATACCGCTCTAGTACCGATTCCTTATATACGCAGAATAAATCGTGCAAGCGTTCTTTCCCGGATCACCGATTTATTTTGTATCGTTTAGCTTTGTATGTACATGTACGTTTATAAGAAACATTATTGATTTATATCATAAAATAATATATATACATAAAATATCTCTCATACAAAAACATGCCTACTTTGCCCGATTTCTCTGATTTCTCACGTTGTTTCAACAGTTCTCTCCATTTACGTTTGACACAAGTTTAATCACACTTGCGTCAGATGCGTTACTTAATCAATCGAAATTCTTGCAAGTCTTGCCGTTCTTCCGTCGAATGTTGATTCATTGTAATCCTTATAGCGAGACTGCGAATTTCTACGAAAATACATATGCTTTTTAAACGACAGGACAATAAGATCCATAACAGAGATTTTTGTTTAATCGAGAAAATATTCTAAAAATCAGGGACCCGGAATTGGAACTTGTTATAAAAGCACAAGCAATTGTGTAGGAGTCATCTGTTGCAAGAATGCGCTATTAGTTTCCGACAATTATGTCTACAACAAATGTACAAAAATAAAATTATACGATAAAGTATCGGAATGGTGCAATAAATGAAGTATAGACGGTATGTTTAAGTAGCTAAAGTATATTTACAACAACGTACTCTTAAAAATATACATTTTACAGTACTAAAATAAATTAATAGTACTATTTGATGCATTTTTATAGCGCCTAAAATTCGCCATTGGCAGGTCCGTCTGGCCGGAGCTGTTCTAGCATTTAATCACTAGCCACGCGTCCGTTTGACAATGAGATTTGCAAATATAAATATGAAATGTGTCGCAATTTGAAGGATATATCGATAAATCGTATTTGACACGGAATATCTTATCAATAATGGACACTATCGGTATTAATTACGTAATATTAACATACATTACACTAACATACTTTGCAGTCTTAATGTCGTCTACGTAACTACTTGCGTAACATTCGTGAAGGACTCTGTACATGACGATATTGAAAATTTCCCAGAATTTTAATTTATTTAAAAACTTATCGGAACTTACTGACTTGACACATCGAGCGATCCCTTAATTGAGTTTAGCGATGCCTCAAATTACGCTCGTTGGAAATCTTTTTTTTTTCTATCTCGTGTCAATTAAGCATCGCTTACGCGATTGGGCCTCGATTTTCTGTACTCGATTTTCATTTTTGGAAAATGAAAGTTAAAAAGAAAAACAAAGAATTAAATCTGGCGAATACGAAGTTCATGGGATGACCGGTACGTTTATACCTACCGTATCGGCTGCCAAAACTTGCGTTTTCACGGGACGAACTTGGCAATGATGCAATTGCATAAATCGTTAGTGAAGGTCGCTTAGACTCTATACGACATTCCGACGATGTCACAAATGTGGCGGATAGTACAGCGAAATAGTCGTCGCGAACGGATTCATGGGTTGGTGCGCGGTCCTGTGTTGCCGGTCATCTTTAACCGCGGATATTCGGTTAGAAATCATTGTTTACGACTTGAAGTTTCGTCACCAAAAATCTATCGAAATATTTTAAAAGTTCGGCGAGAGTTTGATTTTGTTTCCAATGGCAAATTTCGAGATAGGAGATCGAATTACAAGTGCTTGACGTGCTACGCATATTTGAAGCATGATTGAAATCGCAAGAGGACTTCGAAGGGGACGAAGGCCAATTGTAAATATAAGTCCAACATTTTTTACAAACTAAATCCGGGAAATTTTTGATACCATCACGTACGTACGTGATGCTATTTCAAGCTAATTGCTATTAGGTAATAGCAGTCACGAATCGCAGAGAGCAAGGAGAGGGAACGATGTATGTCTGGGTTCCAGAGGTGTATCTACTGATGAAATATGTATTGGAATATTTCATACATATGCAACGGAAGATGTTTAGCTCTTCCTGCTATTTTCAATTGATCTTCAAGTTAAACTATTATATTACGCTGCTACGGATCAATCGCACGTGACGTTACATTACGGCTAAAACGTGAAAGTAAAGGAGAAATAAGTGACGAGTAAAAAAAAATCTATCATTTTGGGAGAAGATAAATGAATTCGCTGTCACGATGATTTATAACAACGTCGAGATATTATCGACATGATACCATTTGCCGATCGGGGACATACATCGGGGAAACTTTCACCTCGAATATGTCGAACTTAACATGTGATCTCATTTATCGATCCGTTTTTCTTTTGCTCTCGTGGCACTCGTTAATCTCGCAATTACTCGACTAAGGAAAGTTGTACGCAAGAGAGTAATGTCGATTCGTATAACTCGATTGACAAAACTAGAATGCACGTGCATTTCGACAGACAGGTGTACCACATTCATCTCATGGTAGAATTGGTAGATATAACGATATATGCATGTACAAAATGGATTTTTTTAGATATTAATACTACCCTCTTGAGGGATGAATTTTTAAAATTGAAAAAGGTAATGAAATTTTTTAATTATTTTACTCTGAATTTAAATCCATGTAGCGTGGTAAACGAAAAAGAGAAAAATGAAAAGAATTAAAAATACTGCGATGAATACTATTCGTTTCTCTTTTGTCAGCAAAATATATCAAAATTTGAAAAAAACCTGAGGAACACGTACGTGTCAATGCTTGAAGGGGGGTAATCAAAGTACGCTTTAGCAAACTGCACTGTAAGCTGGTGCACATTCACAGGGACCTATTTCCATAAACGGAATAATGTATAAATAATGCTAAAAGTTGTAAACGGCCGTATTTCGCAGCGCACACGTCCGTTATACTTCACAGCGGTGATATTTATATCTTCGGATCGTGATTCGCATGTGTGATCCGCAAAAAGCGCATTAAATATGGATTAAGAAGGTTGAATTCGTAATCACGCGGGAGACCAGAATATTTTCGGACGAAATAACATTTGAGGACCATATATCGACTTGACATCCATCAATATTGATCATGTACTAATTTCGTGCGAAACCGAAAAGGCGTGCCGATTTTACGTGGGTTTGAGTGATATTGATTAAATTGCAAGTGCACGCGCACTTGTCACCATCATCGTGGCGATGATAATTCGGTGGACAGACGCAATAATGATACAATGAAAAGCACAAGAATAAATCGCATAAATTTTCGTAGAATCATGTCCCGCGATTCGTATTTGCATGTAAAAATTCTGCGAATTGGAATTCCACAGCGAATTTACAGATATAACAGTTACTGATACATCCTTGTAATACGACTTGCAATACGGATCTAAATGTTAAAAATGTAACAGTCCATTCGTATTCAGGAGAAGGATTTATTTATATGCTAATATACTTAGCGCGGGATCAGAGCGAGAGAATATTTTCCATCTCTTTACTGCGTCGCCCAATGCGAACCGCGACGCGAGTAATCGGAATTCTAGCGAAGAAAATAAATGAATATTCATTCTACAAATATTCCCCATTTTTCGAACCAAAGTCGCACACGCCATTCCACAAAAGGTTAATTCTCTTAAGCGCTAATTGACTAGTATTGAAAGGTCGATCAATAATCAAACGTACATTATTCTTCTAATCCTATTACGGGTCTGTCGAATCTTTTTTTTTTCTCTTCATTTCTACACGATCCATTTATTTCTCACAAGGTATATAGAATAATAAATCCAACTTCAAGAATTCTGGTGCAACAAAATCGAGAAAACTTTATACCTTCTTTCTCACCGAGATAGACGGGAGTACGTCTTCGTTATTCGGGATTAATGCTCGCCGGCGGACGGTGGTTGAATCCTCTGTAGGGCCTCCGAACCGGCGGCCGCCTTGTCCCTCAGGACGGCCTCCACGTCCTTCTCGAGTACCCGCTCCCGGTCGTACAGCTGGAACCGGTAAGCCGGCTCGTTCACCAGCACGCTCTCCTCGGCGGTGCTCTGCGCGTCCTCCGGCGCGAGGAAGAACCTCGCGCGGCCCTCGCACTTGCGCCGGTAGTCCGGATTGTCCGGCGCGGCGCGGTGACAGGAGTCGCAGACGGTGTCGGTGCGCAACGTGCACGGATGGGCCTCGTACAGGCCCGGGCCGCATCTGGCGCAGTTCCAGCAGGGCTGCGTGCTGTGATGCGGGCTGTACGTGCCGCCGGGGCATCGCTCGCACACGGTGTCGCGGCCGCGAGCGCAACGGCTAATCGCGCCCCAGCCTGGACCGCATCTGCTGCAGTGCGAGCCGTCCCGGTGGTGCCTGATGTGAGGCCTGCTCTCGGCCGCCTGGAAAACGCAGAGCGGCAGATGGTTAGTGCGAGCCCCCGAGAGGAGGAGGAATCGCGGCGCGCGAGTGATTCCTACACGTTTGCGAGCCTTCGGAATCGGATCTCCGAAAGGATTTAAAAACTGACCGCATCTGAAACGACTCGGAAACGACCACTGGACCCCGAATTTGTGAATAATTGAAAGCTCTGTCGAAAACTGCATTTCCGCGTGCGTTCCTCCGGGCGGTGTAAAGCCGCTTCTTTAAGAGGATCCGTGACTCCGCGTATATATCGCGAATAGATTGTATACCTACTAGAACAGTCGGTCTGGTCTAGTCGATCTCGTTATTCCATTGCAAATATTATTTCTCTACTACTTTTAATATGAATTGATAAAATGCAGGTTCAACCGTCCAACAACAGGTGCACTGGCGGCCACCTGACTTCGAGGGAACACCTTGCGCCTTTCTTCCGCCTACTTCGGGCAGATCGAGAGACGCGATATATGAGCCTCCGTACTCTCTCACGCATAAAATGTTGCTTTTAATACGTTAGGATATCCGCTACACACTTTCGCCGACTAATTTCCCCGAAATAAATGAGTCCGATCGATTGCCGATCCGTAAACTCTCTCACAGTTTGAAACTTCGAAAAATATCGAGTAACGTTTATTACAATATATTTAAATTAATTATTAAGCAATATATATTCACCGAGCGATATATTAGCGATTATAATTAAATTATTGTTATTAGTATTTAAAAAAAAGCAGCCAGGAAAATTAACATGATATATTTTAAATATATTTTTACCAAAATATATTTAAAATATATCATGTTAATTTTCCTGGCTGCTTTTTTTCAAATACTAATAACAATAATTTATTTCATCTCAAACCACAAATTTCATATTTTGGATTCATTTAGAGCCAACAAAGAAATCTTGATGATTGGATTCATATTTTTTCTTTGTTCAAGGAATAAAATTCTAATCGTTAAATTTTGAACATTGTTTCTCACACAAGAGACTTCTGTGTCCACAGTATTTTTCTGAGACGGACGTTATTGCTTGACCACAGAAGCGGCAGGTAAAAACAAGTAAAAGAAGAATGAGAGACGATCCCTACAGCAGCTGTTGGCAGCTGCTCCGTGCGGCACGCGCCGACGGTCACCACGCATCACGCGAATCGTTAGCACCGGGCCTTAATTTGAAACCCTTCACCTTGCCTCTCTATGCCGTCGCACACCGCAGTCGCACGTTCGCCACCGTACGTCGTGTGCTTGCCTTCACGCGACACAGATTATCAAAAAAAAAAAAAAAATACTCTCCTATAGAAACAATTTTGTATCAATCCGTACAATAAACGAATACGTAACAATATCTTGAATTTGTTGGAAGAACTAGAAGTCATCAACTTGCAAACATGCTAAAATTATATTTTCTTTTACATAAAATCGTAAATTTGTATGTACACTTGCTTAAATAATTTCGATTTATTTTTACGAATTTATGATTTTGCATAAAAGAAAGATTTTATAAAAAACATTTCATTCGTTGCACACGGATGTTGATAATACGCAGAATTGTTCTTAAGAGAAACAGACATTATTTCCTTACCGTCAGTAATTTGCAACAGAGCCTTTGCCTATCATTTTATCTTAGATGTAACATGAGTCATCGTCACATGAAAGGATGCTCGCTGTCAATTTACGGTTACGGTTACTAAGCCAGGATAAAGGGTCACGACCCTTCAAAGGTGGACTATAACTACTACCTTATATTGAATTTATGCACTGGATAATGATAAATCGTGGAATGTCAAATGAATTTCTCGGCGAATTAATTTTCAGAAAAGATAGAAGTATACGAGTAAAAATAAATATAGAGATGAGATTGTTCCTTATATAGATAACTTCGAAGTTTGGCGTAATAGAATTTTAATGGAAGATTGTATTCGTGGTGCCGAGGTGAGTTAAGAGCCGAACAACTATACGGTTGAGGTTTAATTTCAGCGGAAGAGCGAGAATACTTGGGAAACAGTATCAACAAGCAAGAAACATCGATCTTCGGAGGAGCTTCTCCGAAGACTCTCGCTCAAAGTGGGTGGGACGTTGCATTCTTCAATGAAAATATATATACCCTCGAGGGCTTTGCAACAGTCGAGAAGAACACGGACGGTTTTGCCCGGGCAGAGATTTATCGATCGGGGAAAAAAAGCTCGTTTGTAGAAACTGCAGAACATTCTTGCACTCGGGACGAGTCGACGAGTCGTCGCTCGGAGCCTCGACGCAAAACGCTTGAACGATACAGAGAGAACAGGGGCTGCGGGCGGAGAGAAACAGAGGATTCGCGCTGCGTTGGCTGCACCCTTTGGCAATTTCCGATATTTCTTTTCGTTGGTTTTCTCTCTCTCTCTCTCTCTCTCTCTCTCTATCTCTCTCTCCCTCTCTCTCTGCCAACCGCGAGAGCACGTTGCGAGCACGATTATGCGCCGTGGAAATACAGGCCTTACGAGCCTGAAGAAACCCACGTCGGGCCGATAAACGTCGATGCTAGATTCCGCTAGAAAACCATAATAGAAACGCGCAAGAGAAGCGCGTCGATCAGCTCGGTACTCCCTAACGCGAAGATTATTATATTTTTTTCTTTTTTTTTTTGCGATACAACTTTCAGAGATATCGAGACTCGACCAGGCAAAAGCCGGGCGGAGTCTGCTAACGACCCGTAACAACGATGACGGAAGTAACGTTGCGCTCATAGTGCGACGAGTATGAATAGAAACTTCCGGTATGACAAACGGAACGGAAGCGGTAATTGCGGTCCCTTTTGTGCCCCACTTTTGCTTCTTTTTTTTCTTTCTTTTTTTTTCGATACATCGTTATCGATAAATTTCAAACGAATAGACTGCGCGACGGATGCACACGCGGCGCGACGTAAAACTTTGACCTATTCGATCGGTCAATTTCACTGAGAGCTCTTTGCCGCTTTATTTAGACATTTTCACGAAAGATTTTAAAGAATTTGGCTGATCAAACAGTTGAAAGGTGGAGAGTTTTGAAGGCGCACAAGTAATTGAAAAACCAAATCGTCATTGCGGTATCGCTAGAAATAACTTTGAAAATATCGTTTTCCCTGTACTTATATATTTCGTGATTAATAATAATTATTTATCACTCCGTTACCGTCTTTGCCACCGCAGAGTTAATTAACGACGCAAAAAGAAGGAGGAAGGAATTTTTAATGCACACGTGTACGAGCGCTTTGCGGGAAGGGTGACTGAAAAGGCTCGCGCATGTGAATAGGGTGGCGTCGGGTGGCGAATTATACCTTGGCCGATTCACCTGAAGGAACGTGGCCCACTTCCATTTGTCACCGGAAGAGGCGGATACCTCGGGCACGAGAAAAAAAAATTGCAGTAATTTCGAAACCCAACGGAGACACGTTCCAAACGTTATTACAGGACAAGATGTTTCGTGCTCGTCGTCAACGCACGTACGGATTGAATCTCTTCTGATTTCTCAGCCTGCCAATGTACTGACTGAAAAATATTTATCAAATCCGCTGAAGCTGTATAGATGTTTCATTTAGACAAAATTACGTATAAAAATTTGTTCATAGATATAACAAGAAATATTAATTAGTCGGTCGGCAAAGAATTTCGAATATTTTTTAATGTAATATAATTAATGTGAAGAATATGTGTTTATTCTCTAAAATTCTCCATCTTATAATTATATTACATTTGAAAATATTCGATGTTCCTTTCCGGTAGGAGGGTATAATATTTCAGATCCTGCATTCATATAGTCCTTTGATGCTTTCGATACTTTCTTACGTTATTTCCGCTTTCGAGCGAACCGCAAAAGTTCCGATACATTTAGAGGAGGGCATCGCCGAAATTGCAACAGGCAGTATAACCTGCGGAGTCACGCCAGACTGGCGTTTCCCCTACCCCTCCCCGCCACTGACTCTGTGAACGTGTGTATGTGTGTGTGCGTGTACACACGTGTGCGTAGACTTCCGAGCACACCAGCCGGTTCTACTTCCCGGAGGAAGACGCTGGGTTACCCCGAGGGTGAACCCACAGTCGCAGCTGCCTCGAGAACCGCGATAATTATCTTCGGTCGCTACGCACCCTATTGTTCCGCGAACGCTCTGCCCTCCCTCCGCATATCCCATAAATCGGCCACCACGCACCTGGACATGAGGGTGGAAGAGAGACGAAAGCATATTCTTGTAACTGTTTTGACGTTACAAATAAGTTGCATTAGACGTCGTTGTCAACGACATGCCCTGCGTTCGAAACGGAACTTGGCCGCGTTTTCGCAAGAAATTTCACACGCCACATCGAGGATAAACTATATTACAGTCTGTCAAGTAAGAGCGTGTTGCCGTGGTTCCTTTCTCATAACTGATAACAGGTATCGCCATAAATCTTTCGTGAATCGGTAGAGGGAAACTTTGGCTTTGATGCACTATCAAGAAAGATTCAGTTATCCTTGATTTTTTTGTAAGAGAAATACGTTAAGCGTCATGAGTGTCAAATACGCGTCACGCTACGAGACTGCGTTCCTATGCACCCACCCAAAAAGTCCGAAAATGTTGCAATCAGCGGCTGCTAAATACATGATAAAGTCAAAAGCATTCGTACAGAAGTGGGTGCAGCGATATAATATCGCAAAAAATGTCGACGATTTACCGGAACGTGGGTCGATAGGCAAATTGGACAAAAAAGGCGATAAAAAAATAGTAAATCTGTTTTCGCAGAATCCTGGCTTAACACTGCGTCAAGCAAAATTGAAACAGAAAGGTTTAGATATATCGTACGAAACTATCCGTACCCATCTCTGTGCTCATGACCTCAAATGGCGCATCACAATGAAGAAATTTCTGTTGACTGAAAAATGTGACGAAGCGACACGTTTGGGCGCGCAAAACATCGATCGAGATTTCAGCAACGTAATTTTTATCGATGAATGTTCTATGTGGGCACGAAGCACAAACTTCGTGAAAGCGTACGTTCACTTTGAATAAGTTATCTCGCAAGATTCATTCGATTTCGTCCTTGTCACTAGAATACGCCGTCAATTTGGTCGAAAAATGCCTCGGAAATATTAGACAATTATCGACGCCAGTGGTGACTGGACGCATTACTAACATAATTGCATCTTTGTTCTCATCGAGTACAATGCATATATGTATTTGAAAATTTTATTTAATCAATTTTTTTATAAATTAACCCGAACACACTCTTACTTGACAGACTGTATGGTGCGAAAAACTAAAATCGCAATAAGAAATTGCGGCAACTTTAATCAATTCAAAGTAATGCTCATCGTCAAATTGTTTTTTTTCTAACGAATGTGCTATCGACACTTTTGCGATGCGAAGTAACGTACTCGCATAATGAGGAGATATATACAAATTATCGAACGAGAGGTCGAGAGTGTGATAAAACGCGAGGAATAAAAAACCGGGCGATAATTAAGTGGCGCGATTGTGCTATCGATTGCGCTCGTTAAAAAATTTACGTTTGCCGCGATCTTCTCATTTATTCAGAGACGTAAGGGGGTATCCGCGCGACAATTGCATCGCCAAGGAAACTGCATGGCTGTATTCGTCGAGCTCTCTTACGATGCTAATGAGACCTCGGGTATACCTTTGGTGACTCCATCAGTCACACGTAAAAGACACGGATCTACGTGCCCCTGTGGAGTCTCGAGAGGCGCCATTCGCCAAACGGATTCTTCCACGCCGATAACTCACAATGACGCAATGAAAATACGTGAAACGTTGGACGAGAGTTCATGACCTTTCTGCGCGACATATACCGCGCCGACAATTGGACATTCGTGTCCCTCTCTCCCCTTCTTCCGACTTCCCTTTTGCACATCTCTCGTCTCGCGAATCGACCAAGTATACGCCGTATTCTTCTCCGAGGCTACGTGGGCGCGTTACGAAGTACCGCTTTTCGCAAATAATTTCCTTCTGTCGTCACCTGTCAGGTCGCCCGTATCGATACTATAATTTACGGAATTTACCGATATCGCGCGAGATAATTGCATATATGGTGTAACGTTAGAGCGCAGAGAGTGTGTAATAACCATCTTTTCCTCGCATCTGCGACAATATACCTTTGTATACGCAACTCTCTCTCCCTCTCTTTCTTTCTCCGCGTCTCTTTCCCTCCGTTTGAAGCGCATCGTTATGAATATTCCCTGCAGGTGCTTACATGCGGAGGCGTATAGGAACGCCGAGGGAATCGGGCAGAAGGCCGAGGAGAGCGTCGCGAAAATCGCGCCCCGAGCGGAACCGCCGTCTCCGGGTTCCCATGCCATGCTAATGAGCCTCATAAAGCACGGCGTTCCCCAGTGAACCGAATAACCCTCTGACGCACATGTAATGTGCGTAACGTGTGAGCGTGGCGGCGGTACGTGTTTGAGTCTCCATACGTGTAACGCAATTGCGAATAACACGATTGTACATTTTGCGCTCAACGGCGACTTTAGAGAAGAAAATACGATTATTATTAGTTGCGTCTGAAATTACTTTAATTAATTGCAGTTATATTAGCATTTTAAAAACGTCTACTGTATAACATAGATGATTCTTATTATTTAAGTAAAACTTTAGGTAGCCAATAATAAAGAGTGATATCCATATTCAAGATGTGTAAGAAATAATACATTTTTATTCTGCCAAATTCTCATTTTTGGAATATATTGACTGAAACGTCTCGTTTCTTTCGACGAAATCTACTGATAATTACAATAAAAAGAAAAAATATTTTGATTCGTCCAATTTCTGACTTCCACGAATTATATTTTTAATTTCACAGATAAATATCGCGCAAGTATCCGAGCAGTTTGGCATTTCCGGCTCAACCCTCGCGCAAAAAAGCTCTTTCTCTCTCTCTCTCTCTCTCTTTCTCTCTGTGTCGTTTTTTTCCTACCCCCTCATATCCACGTCCCATTGTTATACGAAATTGCGAATTCACGTGAGAACTGATTTTATCCGCCGGTGATATTTTAGTTGGACGACTCACGTAGTAATAATTAACGTGAAACCTATCGAAATTCTGTGCTTTCGCACGACAATTGCTACCTCGATCGGTCCTCCCCGTTCCTGCATTCGCAGCATTTCGCGCCTGCAACCGATAATTAGTCCAGTGTCTCATTTAACAGGGCTTTCGCAGCATTTGTAATCACGCCACATCCGAGATCGCGTGACGCAGGAATTTCAGAGAATTGCTTTCAAAGCAAAAATAATGGGAAAAATAAAATTCCCATTTTAATGATGCTCAGTCAATGGACTTCACGTGAAAGCAGTTCAATGTTATTAAAAAATTTCATTGTGCCAATTATAACGATCGAATTTTCCTTTGCGCGATTTTTACGTCCCGCGTGCAGTTCTCTCTCAATAAAATAACGATTGTTTGTGATTTATTACTATACCCAGCTTGAAATTTGCATGTGTACATTTAATTAAGCGATTCTTTGTCGCGCCAATATGTATTTTTAAAGTTCTCTATCAAATGTGTGGATATGTCCAGTCGCTGCGAAAAGAAATGTGTGTATTAAATTAAAAATTATTAAAAAGCATACCTTAATAAATACAGCCAACGCATACAGGATGACGATTGTCAGCATCACGCACCGATTGCGAAATAGTTTTCCGCGATTATCCATTGTCTTTTGAGTTCTATTCTTCGTGCTTCGATCTTGCCACTTCAGTCAGAATCACTTCTTTTTTTATTCTCTCGAGAAGAGAATTACGGTATATTCATAACGTCTTCTGCATTTGGAATATTCAAACGAGGACAACAATCTCGCGCTCTGATTCCGATTTGGAGATGAAGAGCGGAATAATTTGCGACGTTTGAATTAACAAACGCGGGTAGAATCGATTTTTTTTTTTATGGCACTCGGAGTCCGGGGTGGAAATATTTCCGCGCGATCGAAGAGTAAAACTCGTTCAGCTGACCGTCGCAATGTTACCTCGGTGGAGGTTCAACGTGAATTGAAAGGAGTGCATCGGTGCAGCTGTTACTGTTGAACACGCGCCCGGTCACGTGGCCCTTAGTATCCCTCTCTTTAGGACGCTCCCGATCGAGCCACGCGAACACATTCGTATTTTCGTAGAGAGACCAATACGTGGATGGACTACTGACGCTCAGTTGCGGCACTAAGATTCCATTACATTTAAATTGAATTCTTTTATAAGAATACGTTTTGAAAATTTCAGCTGATCATGACCGAAAGTTAAACAGTATAATTCTTGCTTTTTTTGTATAGATATTATTATAGACATCAAGATCCGTGACTGTTAAAGGCGCTCTCGAATTTAGTTGTTCACATGTGCGGTTTAATTAAAATTATAATTATTGTTTGTGGCGGAATCACCGTTGACATGCGTTTGATAACGCGGCAACGAGCCGCTACCATTTGTAAATAAGCGCGCGCCGAGCTTCATGATCCGATGCTTGGTGGCGCCGAGCATTTACGCTTTCGCGTAAGAAGAAAACGGTTGCGGAGTCAATATAAGAGGGCTCCGGAACTGGTTCCTCTGCCTTCGCGGCAAAACTGATAGCGGGTCGTAGTTCGTACACCTTGCCATCTTATATAAAAATCTTTGAGTTATAGAAGTTTCGATTTGTCAAAGTTAAGTAAAAGGAGAATTGACATGAAAATTCGACTTACAAAAGCTTTGTATGATAGTTTATAATTTTCCGATTATAATGGCTTTTAAAGAAAAAAATTTGAGTAGTGTTCGAGTTATCGAGGCCCGAGGGTCGACTGTATTACGATTTTACGGTGACTATACTCCACCGACGCATACTTTTTCACTTGTCGCGATAGATCGCGGTTAACGAATCGTGAAAGTCGATTAAACGCTGATCGAATTCTGTGACCAAATGCATTTTTTTTGACTAGTTGACATCCGATCATTAACTTAATTTTGCTATAAAAGAATTTACATATGTTGCATATAAAAAATAAATTGTTTTATATCATATGCATATAGCAAAAGTTGAGTTAATTAATAGTCGAATATTAATTATACATATATACATATATACATATGGTAATAAATACACACACACACACACACACACACGCACACAAACAAATATACAGCAAGCTTACGCTGGCCAGAATAAGATTAATGCAGATTTACAATAATTTCCATAATGATGAAAATTAATCTAATATTTTTGCAAATGTATAAAGAAAATAAGTTCAGGAAAATTACGGTGCTTGCAGATGTTTTGAAATAAAATTATTAACCATTGCTATTAATTATTAGTTTTTAATATTAATAATATCATCTTATTAAAAGTTTAATCTTGATGAGATATAAGAACAAATAAAAAGCTCATATCTCGAAAGTGATACGTTTGATTGCTAGTATCAGCAATTATTCTCAGTTGTAATTATCTTGCATTTATTTTACCAACAACTCAACATTTCATGATGTGCTGCTGCCACTATTGCACATTAAAACAAACAGGCTGTACTTAAAGCAGGTGTGCGTTCCTTCACAACTGAACAGCGGATATTCACGACATGCGACTGATACGGCCGAGAAAATTTGATTTACTCACGAATAGCAAATAATTATTAAACGTAAATGTTGAAAAATAATTTTTTAAAGAACACCACAATTATACACAAAAATTAAAATACAATAATATTGATAATCGCGCTTGCCATTACCTGAGTAAATAAAATCGTATTATATTTCGACTTTAATTAATAATTTTGCTTCGTGTTAAATCACATGATGTCCGAGAATAATAGCCTCCTCAGAGTGAAAAATAATATGTTTCTTTCCTTCTCTCAGAATTTCTGTTCGAGGCAACGTTTCTTTCGCAACAAATATGATCGAGAAATAGAGAAATGTCGAATTTAGAACTTGATTCCACGTTCTGTTGAACGAGCGTGTCCCATACAAATAACAACTCGCCTGCGCCCATCTATTACATCGGTTCCATTATATCCTATTGTATCAGCCTATTATATGAGCTATTTTCTCGTTGCTCGATAACACCAACGAGCATAGACGTGAAAGATGAGAGCGATGCATCGAGATTTTTCACAGCCGGAATATTAAATAAAATCAGATATAGAATTTCAAAAAGTTATATATAGCTCTTCGACAAAAATATTCATTTCTAGAAAAGAAACAACAACAGATCACGTTAGCTATTTAGATACGTGGGCTTCCGAGATGTCACGCGCAATTGGACTTAACATATTACCGTTTAAGAGTTCATATATAACTGATCTCTACGAAATACATTTTTGAAAAATGTAGCTGTGAGGATTCGTACGTATCTGTACGTACGTCATTCAATGACATAACAATTTTTATCTAGAGTCATTATAACGGCTTCTCCTTTTTTTAATAATTCCTCGCAGTAAAAGAAACTAATCAGTTTTATATATAGTAACGTAATAGTGACATTTATAAAAATAGTAAAAAAACATAAAACTAGATATATGTCGCATGTTCAAAGTTTTTAACAAATTTTTTTTTAAAAGGATAAAAAATTGATTAGAATAAGTATATTTAATGAAGTAGCAATGTGTGAAGCAATGGAAAATAGTGTCATGTTATATGACTGGACACTGCTAAACAGTCATATTGCATTTACGAGTTTCAGTGCATAAGTTCGTTCTGTCAATATTTATCGTTCTCTGTGATCAATAAGAATATACAGATATCTTAAAAATTTCTTTAGTATCATTAAAGAAGCTAAGATAAGGTACCTTAACAATTTCTTTAGTATCATTCAATTATGTAGCATTTACTAACATATTTACTTCTATTGCTTTGCCATTTTAATGAAATTAAAAATAATATACAATATTTGCATGAAATTGTTAAAATTGCTTTCTATAGCGTCAAACACCATCATAATATCTTGTAATTCTAATAATTATATTATTTTAATTGATTTATTTACTATATCGAGTAAATCTTTTTAATGTTCCAATGTTCGATTTCTCTATCTTTCTCTCTCACTCTCTCTCCAGTTGAATTGTTTTACAATTTTAATAAATATATCACTATTGTTATATGTAAAAATGATCTAAAACTTATAAAAATATGTTTTTTATTACGCTTTACAACAGCTAAAATTAGGGAAAAAGAATACTTCGTTTTTTTGTTAGAAAATACGGCATTCGCGCAACATGTTTTTCTTATTTTTCTTATTTATTATATTAACAATATGCATTTATATCTTAAAATATTGATACATGTCTTTACGAATCATCTATGCAATTCTCCATACACAAAAGCTGTAGTAACAAACATGTCATATTTAATTTCTTTTTTGTATTGTATTATAGGTATAGAATATTCCATGCCTATTAAGCCAGGTCTACAATTGCGTAAGCATAGTTGCAAGTAGTTTGTAGTTGTAAGAATTTACCAATCACAATTGAATATAAGAAGAATATTCAACTGTAATTGGTCAGTTTTTACAACTACATCACTTACAATTACGCTTACGTAATTGTAGACCAGGCTTTACACGTATAAAGACACGTATTTTTGAAATGCATGGTATACGAGCACAGTTAAATAGCCAACTCAGATAGCACAGAGAGTTAAAAAAAAATTCATCAATTCTGCGTTCATTTTCAGATAAAAAAAGAATTCTTTTTTTTTATTCTAAAAAGAATTTTTTTGCACCTGAAAATTCTGACTTCAGAATTGATGACATATACGATTGAATATACGAATGAATTCTTTTTGAACACTGTGCTATCTGGCAAAAGTGAATACCGACTCGTAGTTCTCAGAAACGGGGATAATCATGAAATCATAGTTCGATACTTGACAAACCTGCCTTAGTCCACTGACGTGGCTATATACAGTCTCTTTTTTAAATACAAAATAATTAAGCTGTAACTGCGAGAATGTATTTCCCCTAATTTTGCAAGCCTTAACATATTGTATATTAATGTTGTTTTACATTACACAGGATACTTTGTGAACAAAGCGATTAATCAAATAATAAAGAAAAGTAAAAAATGGAAGTGACAAGTGACCGCATTCGATGGGTAGAGCAGACACAAACGAAAATTACGAATAATGACAATTCAGATTGCATAGAACATGATATTGTGAAAGAACAGAATATTGTGAAAGAAATCATATCAAGTGCAAAAAATCAAAGCGACAATATCGATGAATACGTAAAAGATGCATTAAACGAACGTTATGAACTTGCAGAGGCAAGAAGCGCCGTTGAATATGTCGAACATGTTGCGAAGTATATGAAAGATATTGTCGGTCAGAATTCTACATACCCGAAGAATGTTGAAAAATGGACGAACGAAGAAAAATCTAAATATATAACATATAACATAAAAAAATGTATCCCAAATATACCAGAATCCGTAACTTTCTTCATTTCGGCCACAATGTATCGGGGAGATTGCGGTCGAAATTCGACGGACAAGCCATTCTGGTTGGATATGGAAAAATTCCAGAGAGGTCAAAAATTCGCGCGAGACTATGTCTTCTCAAATTTCATAGCTAACTCGTTATCACTTTTCGTGATTTTCTCTTCCACGAATGGTCTTAAACCGTTAATCTTCAGCCGACAATCGCACACGCCATATTTAGCATTCAAGAGGTACATGATTTCGGTAAAATCTCTTAGATTAGATAATTGATTTATAATTGCGTTGCTTTGGAACTAAAACTTATAGTCTTCAAATGTGGAACGGTTCAAATAGATGTATCTAATTGAGAGTCAATATGATATATTTATAACTTTACATTTATAATGTGAATCAAATAACGCTCATAAACAGTTTGTCTTGAGAAAAAACTCACATGTATATGCATTGATAGATCTTGAGAAAAAACACAGAAATGATTATGTTTGCTAAAGTAGAACATATATGTTTGCTAAAGTAGAACAGATACTACTTTGTTTGCTTTTAAATTAAATATTATCGCGTCTTATTA